ATAAACGTGGTGACATAACGCGACTCTTCAGCTAGCGGTAATTGAAAAAACCCACTTTTGGCGTCGATCTTAGCGAAGTATTTAGAACCATGCAAAGCATGCAAGGTATCCTCGATCTTAGGTAGAACATATCGTTCTCTAATAACGGCCTTATTGACCTCTCTGAGATCGCAACATACTCGAAGGTCACCCGACTTTTTGGGAACAATAACTTAATTTGAGACCCAGGGACTTGCTTCTGTCACTTCTTCAATTATATCTCCTTCTAGCATCCTGTCAAGATCATTGTTAACTGCTTCTATTTGACTTACGGGTTTGACCTCAGGGTCAATAGCTATTTTGTGTTCAAAATTTGTAACCTTTCCTAATCCTTGAAAAACGTCATCGTACTCTAGGAGTAAGGAATCAAGCTCACTAGTCTGACCGACTGAGTTTACTTGGGTAAGGATTTCTAGCTTGAAACTAGAATCTCTTCCTAGTAATGATTCTGCCTTACCCTCTATTACGTACACTTTTGAGTTAATGGCCTTGTGGCCAATACTTATGACAGCGTTAAAATAACCCTTACAGATTAACGCTTCGTCTTGTCCGTACGCGGTGAAACGCTTTCGAGTTTCATTCAGTTCACAGTTCTTGAATTGCGTTTTACGTAAATGGGAGGAAATTATATCGTACTTACAGCCTGTGTCCACGATCATTTTGGTTTTTCGTTTGTTTATCGTAGCTGTGATGGAGTTGTCTACATTGTTCATGAAGAGTACTGGCTCTTCGCTATCCTCACCTGAACTGTCTGCAAGCCAGTTAGCAGTCTTGTTGGATGAGAGGCTACGAACCTTCATTTGTTGAGGTTTCTTCCCTTTCCATTTCTTTCCTTTCATCTGTGCCGTTTTAGGCTTGGAGCGACAAACTCGTTGTAGGTGTCCCACCTTTTTGCAGTTGTTGCAAGTGGATTTAAGCGCACCGCATTCACTTGGGCTATGTCCATCCGTGCCACCACATCTGTAGCAGTTGAAGCGCTTCACTGGTGGTCTGCTAGAGGTACCCACGCGGTCAATGGTGATTGGGTTCTCTTTGGAGCCTTGAGAAAGTAGTCGGC